CACACACACACACACACACACACACACACACACACACACACACATTCTAATTAGCACGCACGAATTAATTGACTTATAGCATTTAAAGTATTTAAATCTGACAACGAAATCTCAAATGTTGAAGTAAGGATTAGGGTATTATATCAACAACACACATACTCAAGTAATGTCAAGCAAATGTCGGTGACTCGGGGATCAGATGTGTGGTCACTAGGGGTGTGTCTTTGAGCAACCCTAGCTCAAAATACAGGGCGCTGCACAGTGGCGACCGACAGTGGCATGGTTGTAAACTATTCTGTATTTGTGTGATATTGTGTATGTATTTATGCATGTATTTATGCCTGTATTTATATATGTACGTACTTATTATTATGTATTTATGTATGTGTATTATGTACGTTTGCCATTGTAAGCAAAAATGCCCTTCCAAGACAAATAAAGTGTAATGTATTTTTATTTTTTTATTTTATTATACATAATATAATCTCTGGGTGCGTGTGTGTGCCCTTAAGGCCAACACAGAGCCCAGGTTTGTTCGCTTTTATTGTTGTTGTTGTTGGTTTTGTTGTTGTTGGTTTTGTTGAAGTTGTTGGTTTGTTGGTTTGTTTGCTTTGTTTGTGTTGTTTCTTTTTTTTTGTTACGGTTTGGGGCTTTTTTCTGAGCCTCTCTGCAGTCTGCAAGATGGGGTGAAGAAAATCACATCGACACGAAAACGGTTATTTTAAAATTTTAATTAATTAATTAATTTTTTGTTTTGTTTTGATATAACTGTTTTACAGCGTTCGCACTGCATAAGGTCATGTAAGCGCGCGGGACACCTTAAACCTTTTCTGTTGGGTGGGAATTTGGAATTTTGCCGGGGTGGCGGCCGAAGACTACTCTTATTGATTTTGGACCACCAAGGGATCTTTAACGTGCACAACTTGCACACGAGACCTCCGAGATTTTTGGCCCTTATACAGACTTCAACATAATTTAAGGATCATTTAGACAGAGAGCCCTGATTTTTTTTTTAAATCCGAAAAAAAGACAGCAAGGAATGTTTCAAAATTTCTTGCTCTGGAAGTGTTAATGGGTTAACAATGCGTACTGAAATGCTTCCTAAAGGGGCAAAATCACCACGTGCAGCTCGGTAATCCACGAGGAATTTTAGCCAAATTTACAAGTGGTCCTTAGCTTTTGTCGAAGTCTGTACGAGAAGGCTTGGTGTATACCTTTCCTACCATATGATCAAGGGTGTGGCTGAAAGACAACAGTAAGTAGGAGCAGAGGTGATCAGGAGTAGCAGTAGAAAGACTGCAGAAAGAGTCAGGATCCCAGAGGAGGGGGCAAAGGAGAAGAGGGGGAGGGAGTGGGGGCAGAAAGTGGAGACGAAAGCAGACAACAGAACTTTGTTAGAGAGCAGGAAAGGATGTGAAAGGAGAAAGTTTTAGAGAAAATTTTCCGTCGTTATCCGGATTCGAACCCGGGAACTATTGAATGAGGAGAGGCGAACACCGTAACCTCTAGACCACGAGAGCCCCCCAACGGTCACTTTAGCTCAAGGAAACGGCGAGATTTTACTGTTAGTTCAGCAACAGACAATGGGGAAAAAAAACCCAGAGAGACTGAAAGAACAGAAGAAGAAGCTACTGGGGGCACCCTCCAACCACCCTATCTGTTCATCCGTGTGGGTCATCGACTACATTGTTCCGTGACCCAAGGTCAGATTAGGTCAAGTCGGGTCGGGTCAAGGACACCTCGTGTGTTGAAAAAGTGCTTCTTATCGCAAGCAAGCTGGTAAACTGTAGTAAGCCCGGAAAGCAAAACTTGAACAGGCGAGGGAGAGAGAGAGAGAGAGAGAGAGAGAGAGAGAGAGAGAGAGAGAGAGAGAGAGAGAGAGAG